TTTGATGCTATGGTCTTTTGAAAATGGATGGAATTTCCCCCATTTTTTTTCATTTACTCAGAAGTTATATTCAACTTCTTTTTTGTTAGTTATTCCAGGTACGTATATTAAAACATTAGTACATGGTTATTCTGTTGATAAAACAAAATATTTATATTAAATGTCATTTCATCTATTTCAGATCAGCCCAAAAGTTCAAAGATTTGCAGCTTGTGCCGGAGAGTCCCAGAAGTGTCAAATAAATTTCGGGAATAAAGTGACACTAAATGAAAACACTATAAACAGTCATTTTATAGTCAGTGCGATGCTATTGAAGTTTTATGTAAATCCAGTTATAAAATAAAAGGCAAAACTTATATAAATGTGTTTTCATTTTTATTTCTTTTTTTTTACTACCAGGTACCTGATACTACTATTTCCAATACCTTTATGTCTATTCTCTCGAAAAAATGTACGTTCATTCAAGAGAACCTGAAAGATACTGACATATGTAGTGGTGAAACAGTTTGCTCAATATAATTGTATAAAAAGCAACACAGAGAATATGTTTTAAATAAAAACAATTAACTGGATAAAGTAATAATCTAGCCTTACCCACTAAAAAGCAGTTTCAAACAGGACCGACTGATAGAAAAAGTGTGAAAACTATCACAATTGAACAATTAAATAGATGCACATTAATAACCGTGATTAAATCAATTACTGAGTCTGCAGCAAACATCAATTATGACGGTACAATGTACTTATTTTTCACAATACTTTTATAACAAAAAATGTTTAGGCCGTTTTTTTTCAGAAAAATATACGTACCTGAGAAAACGAACATTTTTATAAGAGCTCTTTTCTGGTGCAGTTTGAAAATTATATAATCATTCTTTTATTCAATTTTAAAAATAGATAGATAACTTCATTCTTTAAAACAATGTTCAAATAAAAAAATATAAAGGGCTTAATAAGTTAAATATATGGTAAAAGTTGCGTTCGAAATATTCAAGATGATTTTGGTCATGTGATTCTTCACGATATCTTATCCGCATTTATTTAAGATACGCAATAGAAATTGAAAAACAAAAAAATTAAAACTACAGTTTATAAGCTGTTTATAAATAATTTTTCACAAATTTCGGCAAAAAAATGACGAAACAATAATAACTTGTTACTACATGTATATAAAATTTCTTTCGTGTGCAGTCGCGATTTGGCTGGTAGTAAAAGTTGAGTTTTTTACTCGTTACAATTCCGGAAATAATTTAGCTTTGTAAATGATAATTACACGGTTAAAAAGATCAAATTCTCAGCTTTCTTTTGATAGGTATTTTGCTAAATTCGGACCGTAAATTACGAAAAAATCTTATATTTGTTCGAAGAGGGCATCATTATTTTTACTGAAGTTTTGACATAATCGGGAGACAAAAAAAAAAAAACTCTGTGTTTAACTCGTCGTAATTTTCTTCATACTAAACGCACTGATTTATAAAATATATATTTGAAAAAATCTATCTTTCAGCTTTCTAGAATATGTTACTTTTAAAAAATTGAACGGAAAATAACATGTTGACGGTAATTTAAATAACCAAGGTCAAATATCACGCCGCTTAATGATATGTAATCGTCGATAAAAATCAATAACGATCGGCAGTCTGGATGGATTATCTACCACGACAGCATAATTTACCGTTATTGATTTACTGTATAGAGTTGCGGATACCGTTAATATACGTACCTGTAGAAACAAATAACTAAATATCAAGATTATTCCCTGATTTGTCACGAACCGAAATATATGTTACAATACCAAAATCGACTTGTAAAATCACAATTAAGCGTTCTATTATATTTTTTTCATTATAATCTATTACAATAGGTTTAGTTTGACATTCATGCAAAAAATCAGTTCGAAATAATCATTAATAATGATATTAGAAACAAATAACTAAATATCAAGATTATTCCCTGATTTGTCACGAACCGAAATATATGTTACAATACCGAAATCGACTTGTAAAATCACAATTAAGCGTTCTATTATATTTTTTTTATTATAATCTATTACAATAGGTTTAGTTTGACATTCATGCAAAAAATCAGTTCGAAATAATTAATAATTATGAAATTAGAAACAAATACCTATATTTCAAGATTACTTCCCTGATTTGTCACGAACTGAAATATATGTTACCATACCGAAATCGGCTTGTAAAAGTTAAACTAAACATTTTTATAGATCTTGTTTAATTAATTAATATAAAATCATTCAAACTGAACCATAAACATAGGAAAATAATATTTAATTATAAAAAATGATGATGTTATAGACGGATATGTATATTATATCATGATTACTTCCCTTGTTATTAATGTGTTGCATTACCGAAATCAAATCAGATTTCATTTCAAAGATGAGAATAACCCCTAAAATATTTGCATGAATTTCAGAAGTCTATGAAAAAGGTATTTGAGTGAGTTTTAAACTTTGAATTCATATCGCTTATTTACAATGTTTAAAGTTTCCCTTTAGTCAGATAACATTGCAGCGTATCATCTCTTTGATGTTTCTTAATGATTTCAAAATACAAGATTAAACCAAACTGTGTTTGAAGCTATCCGCCTAATTTAGATCACTATTAAAATAGTTGATTGGAAATTATCACAGAATTTAATTCAAATCCAATGATTATGATTTGATTAAAATAAAAAGACGTAGCGGTAGCCATTCATCATAACACCTTTACTAATAAGGAGCAAGCATACACGTGCTCGGACAATGGGGGTGTTAGTTGACATAATTAACATACTCGTTAACCGCAATCCTTTAATATATACATCGGCGCATGGAAACTTTAAAGTATCCAAACAACATAATTAGACATAATTATTTTGCATGAAAATAAAGCTGCTTGTCTCCATTAAGACAAAAAATACATTACAGTTTAATATAAAATGACGTATAGCGACCATCCCTATATAATATATATCAAAAGACTTTTTTTATAGTTCTATATTATACATATTTCAGATCTAGTAAGCTGGTAAAAATATAATTTTATATTAAATAAATTGTCAAAAGACCGGTTTTAACTAATTTGTAGGGGTGGCCGTAGAAAACATTTCGGTATATGAGACAAGGTGCTTTGATATTATTATTACCAAATTGCATATCAGTTGTTCCAAAAATGTATGCAATTTTTTGATGTCCCGGATACTTAACTACATATTATACTTATTGAAAAAGTTGTTAAGTCATGATTTTATGTTGATCGATTTAAAATCATTTTAAATTTCATATCTGTAAACAGCATAAATTTATGGAATGACTGGTATATATTTATATGATGAAAAAAAAGGAACACTTTTTACTGACAAATTTCAATTATGAAATGTTGTAACTTGTACGATATGACATGCTGTGTATTACTGTATTAAGTAAGGTGTGAAGTAATTAAGACAGGAGGTACAGTTGACATATATTGTATGTAGATTATAATAACATATGTTAGTGATTTGTTAATATATAGTTAAACTGTTCAATAAAAGAAAGACACAAACTTTCAAATTTCCAATTTTACTGCCTGATACATTATACAATTTTTATGGAACATTTTTAGAGCAGTCGAATTATATATCTGTATTCAAATTTATAATAGAAAATCATAAACTTCCGATTGAAGTTGAATATTTTTTCTTCATAAAACATAAACATGTACAAAATTTATAATTATCTTTAACTCATATTACAGAATATTTTATTTTTCCATCATAATCCGATCATAGCTTTTTAAAAAATACGATTTTATTTAGAAAATTGTTATGCACGACAATCACGTGCAGATATATAACATGCTAATATGGCGGTATCAGACTTTTTCTTAAATCATTATATACATTGCATTCTAATATGAAATGGTACTAGTCTTCTAAGACATTACATGAAAAACATTTTCTATCATTTAAAGGTGTACTATTTGGTTTAGTCCATCTACCTGAGTCTATGTGCAATCTATGAGATGATACTCTTAACGTAGTGAGATCTTTACAAAACCGTTCAACATTGATAATATTTAGATATGGTTGAAACTTAAAAACAGAAATATGTCTATAAAATAGAGCTCTACTAGAGTTATCTAATCTACTATCTACTAATTATATACATAATTTAAACTTCACCGCTGATTTCGGTAATGCTAAACACATAACGGGTTGTTTAGAACAAAGGGAAGTAACTCAATAATTACATTTTTGTTAATAACATCATTAAAATAAAATATTTTCAATAGATTTTTTAACTGAAAGTCTATTTTACTATTTTTCTTCAAATAATGAAGAAATAATAGCAATATTTTAACTAGGTTGGTTTTTACGAGTTGATTTCGGTAATGAAAAGTTGATTTCGGTAACTTTACCGAAATCAAGTTGATTTCGGTATCGTAACGTACCCCTTTTTTTAATAAATAAATAAAAAACCACGTATACAGCTATTGTTTTATTGTATATGATACCAGTGATTAATTACATTGACAGTTTTTTTTCTGTAATCAATCAATTTTAGCAGTAAACTGCACCGTTACATCATACATCATGTCTAAATCCCATCTGTACGTGATTTCTCTGTACTGTTACACTCCCCCCAGCTTTATTTGTCATGAACTACAAGAACTTATTAAATGTCCAGCTGTTTATGACGACATATATCACTATCAGTGATCATTTACAAATTTATGTGTGAATAAACCTGTAACACATTTTACTGTAAGTAAGCTGTATTCATATTGCACATGTACTAGCACTTATGCTGCAATACATACATAAAAACTGTGGCATTATCCTTTCAAAATACCAAATAACAATAATAGGTCGAGCGTACTGCTGTGACCATTCATGTGACCATTCGTGGATGTTACATCAATACATATAATATATGCCAATTTTAATGATAAGATTTAGATGTAAATGGTTTCAATCAAACATTTTGCTTCATTGCTTCTATTGTTTGGTATTTTTAGCAATGATCGACAGTTTAGGTGGGCTCGTACGTGTAAATAACTTCCTGGCATCATTGAACCTGAAGCCGATTAGTAACAAAAACCTAAAGACCATGGAGAGACGGGCTGGAAACATTGTTGAACATGTGGCCGACATGTCAACTCGCAAGGCAGCCAAGGATGCCTTCCATCAAGAAATGAAGTAAGATTCAGATAATTGCTTGCATCAACAATTTCTAAATTGTTCAATTACATGGTCAATGAAAATGTGGATATTGAATGATGATTTGCTCTGGGAATGCCAAGCTATAATGCTTGTTTTCTTTGTATTGAACTGGATTTTCCCATGAATGATGGTTAGATGAACAGTCTGGCTGTACATTTTAAAAATACTTTTGTGAATGGATGTTAGACTGAACATAACAAAACATTTAAATTTGATAATTGTATAAAAACCATCATAATCAATTAACTATAAAGATGACATTGTCAACACAACAGGCTTACAGGGTTTGAAAAATCCGGGCATTTCGAACCCTGACACATAACATTATAATGTTTTTGTTTACACTCGGTCAAGATAGCATTTATATTTCAGGGAAGTGGCTGAGTCCAAGAGAGCTGCTGACAGGATGGAAGGCCTTATCGAAGATCTTGGTGTATGTCCACTTCCAGATGTCTCCCCTAAACTAAAGTAAGTCTATTTACTAGGGCTGGGAACGAATAAGGAATTTGATGTTCGAATATTCGTTTTCCATATTCGAATATATTCGAATATTCGTTTTTACAACATTTGTTCAAATATTTCTCTTTGAAGTATATGTATCTGAAATTGATTGCGTCCAATACTATACTACTTTAATATGTTTGGAAAAATAACGATAAAAAATACCTTTATTACTACGTCAAAGTGTTTTATTTAATTATAATCTATTGAAAATCGACATATATGTTAACTTTTGAAATAAATTCATAATTTGATTGCCCTTT